CTCAGCCCCCCCCCGCCCACCGCTCTCCCCTGCGGGGGCAGGAGGCAGAAGCTTGGTCCTGCGGCAGCCAAGCTCCCCCCTCCCCCGTTTCTTCCCACAACATGGTGCATTCCGGCCCCTCCTCCTCCTCCTCCCTCTCCCTGCCAGCGACGACCCTTGCGAGGGGGAGCGGAGCGGAGCAGAGCCGAGCGGCAGCGTGCTCCCTGCTCCGTAGAGCAGGCAGAGAGAGGTAGGGACGGGCCTTGGGAAAGGGGGTGGAACAGGGCATATCCCTCCCAGCCCCCTGCCATGAGCCGCTCAGGGCAGGGGGCTGGGAGCACCCCCACGAGCCGAGCACCCCCACGAGCCGAGCACCCCAGCCCTCTGCCCTGACCCTCCCCACCCCAACACACACCCAGCCTTCTGCCCTGCACCCCCCCACACCCAGCCTTGTGCCCTGCACCTACACACCCCTCCAGCCCTCTGCCCTGACCTCGAGTCGCCCCCAACACCCAGCCATCTGCCCTGCACCCCCACACACCCTCCAGCCCTCTGCCCTGACCTCCCCCCAACACCCAGCCTTCTGCCCTGCACCTCCACACACCCCCAGCCCTCTGCCCTGACCTCGAGTCGCCCCCAATACCCAGCCTTCTACCCTGCAGCCCCCAAACACCCCCAGCCCTCTGCCCTGACCTCCCCCCAACACCTAGCCTTCTGCCCTGCACCTCCACACACACCCCAGCCCTCTCCCCTGACCTCGAGTGGCCCCGCTCAGCCCGCTGCAGGCCTAGGTGAACAGAACCCCAGGCTGGAAGCGGGCTGAGCAGGCTGGCGGTGTAAGATCAGCATTTTAATTTAATTTTAAAGGAAGCTTCTTAAACATTTTGAAAACCTTGTTTACTTTACATACAACAATAGTTTAGTTATATAATATAGACTTATAGAGAGAGACCTTCTAAAAAACGTTAACATGTATTACCGGCACGCGAAACCTTAAATTAAAGTGAATAAATGAAGACTTGGCACACCACTTCTGAAAGGTTGCCTACCCCTGTTATAGACTTATAGAAAGAGACCTTCTAAAAACGTTAAAATGTATGACTGGCACGCAAAACCTTAAATTAGAGTGAATAAATGAAGACTCGGCACACCACTTCTGAAAGGTTGCTGACCCCTGGTATAAAGCCTTAACTTTTTTAATAACAACACCTGCTGTCATTAAATAATTGTCTGATACACACACCCATAATTTTGCCCAACTGTGAAAATTAGAATCAATAAAAATTGGAAAAAAGGCTTAAAATAAACATTGGTATTATCCATTGAAATAATAAAAAAAATTGAATTCTGCCAAGCCTACATATATGTGTGGAACATACGTATGCTGAACAAGGAAACAAGGCATAAATATTTGCAGAGATAGAAGAAGGATGGGACTGACAATTTAGAAGGACAAGGTGACAGAGACCCCGGGAGAACAAATCATGATGGGTGAAAAATGTAAGCATATAAATGGCAAAAGAACAAAAGCTTCAGGTATCACTAGAAGAAAATTACTTACTTCCTTTAGCCTGCAATAAGTTTGTCTGAAATGCCATCATTCTCCAAAGGAGAACTGGAAAAATGCTCATCGCGATGGCCATAGCCTTTTGGTAATAAACGATAACAGTTAGTTATCAGCACATGCCTCAGCCCCATTTCAACTAGCAAATACAAGACACAGCCCCTTAGCTATAAATTAACACACAAAGTTTGTAGTGTAACATCTGAGGTTGCTACATGCAAATAAACAAAATTAAGGAAATTAAGATGTCACCTTACAGTGTCTACCCGCCACTCCTTCCCCTGCAGGTACACATCTTGCCATTACCAAATTTCTGTGGACCACCCACCTAAAGATGACATGTGGGGGAGGGGGGCATGTGGGTCACATGGTGTGGCAGGTCCCCTTTCCCTGTGCAGCAGCTGTCGGCACCGGTGAGCTGCACCCCGCAAGGAGAGGCAGGAGCAAAATCTGGGAGCTTAGGGAGGGGCCGCTGCTTTCTGGAATGGGAGACTGAGGGTAAAGGAGGGTGGTCAGCCTTGTGGGGGGGGTATGACTCGAGGCCGAACCTTTAAATTGTGTCCTCCCCCAACTATCAGCAGGTACAGGTTGTCTCTGCACACACCACAACCTTCATTCTACCCTCCTTCCTTTCCACGTACACTATTTTACTAACTTACCTCTTGTCAACATCCTATTGCCTGAACCGTTACTTCCATGTTCTTGCGGTATATAATAAAACAAGCTAGCAGGCTAGCCCTATGGGCTACATTCTCCAGGGTCTTACATGACTGTGTTTATTACTGGGTGTAAGAGAAGCCATTTTTGTTTGTATTAGACTGACAAGAGTGATTACTTTTAATGTTTAGTAAACAGCATAGTGTGCTGAGATTAAACTAGGTTTTTTTGTGTGAAGTACAGAAAATCTGTTCTACTGATCATTCACATATAAACAACAAGGCAGTACTGACCAGTATGTTCCCAAACTTTCATATGATGGACGACATCTTAAGAGAGAGACTGTCTCACTAAGAACGTCCTCAGGCATGAGTGCACTCCCTCCCATTCTGACTCACATAATTTGTCTGTGGCAACTACAGCAATTCCTTACATGGAAAAATAACACTGTGAAAGTATTTAGTGTATTTTAGCTTCTGTAAAGTGATTTAGCAGCTGGAAAGGAAAAGAGCTAGCATCCCATGACCTATCAGCAAGTACTCTGCAGCTCCCCAGTGATCCAGCAAGCGCAGGTTTGGAAACTTAATAATAATGGAGATATCCATCTCCTAGAACTGGAAGGGACCTTGAAAGGTCACCGAGTCCAGCCCCCTGCCTTCACTAGGAAAACCAAGTACTGATTTTGCCCCAGATCCCTAAGTGGCCTCCTCAAGGATTGAACTCACAACCCTCAGGTTAGCAGGCCAATGCTCAAACCACTGAGCTATCCCTCCCCCCTTCTGCTGCAGAGGAACTATTTTTAATTTTGAGTTCATGAAAACAAGATGTTGTGTAACATCCAAGTCCCACTCCGTTCTCTATGTTTAGGAGAGGGGGGAGGGATAGCTCAGTGGTTTGAGCATTGGTCTGCTAAACCCAGGATTGTGAGTTCAATCCTTGAGGGGGCCACTTAGGGATCTGGGGCAAAATCAGTACTTGGTCCTGCTAGTGAAGGCAGGGGGCTGGACTTGATGACCTTTCAGGGTCCCTTCCAGTTCTAGGAGATAGGTATATCTCCATATATTTTTTTTTTTTTTTTTTTATATCCTGTGGGGAGCTAGTTCTTTGCTGGTCAGGAAAGTGCATGAGTCTGGTTGGACCTGTGGTGTTTCTAACTGCTCAGTCTCAAGGGAGCTAAGCTTGGCCTCCATCTGCTACTGTGGAGTGGGAACCAGATTTGGCCTGACACTTAATGCCCTTCTGAGATCCATGCGAATTTCAAAGAATCATGCCATGGCCATCCACATGCCTGCACAATATCTCCAAGACCACTTGCCCTCGATGGCAGTATAGCTCCTGAAAAGCCATGCACCTGTGGATTTCACCATTGGCTGTAATTACTGTGGTGGCTGTAAGTCAATAACATAGGTTGAGTTAGGGCTGTAGTGTAGATATGCCCTAAGATGGGCTATTTAATTGTTGCCTAATCTGTATGTAAAGACACAGAAATCATACCAATTAAAAAGTCTTTGTGTAAGAAAAGACCCAGTGGGTCTTGAAAAAATATGAAATATAGCATTTCTTTAAAATTCCGTTTGCCAGCCTCATACAGATTTTCAGTTCTTCTTCCATAAACATTACTAAAGATACAAAAATCTAACTCAACCTATGTTATTGACTTACAGCCACCAGAGTAATTACAGCCAATGGTGAAATCCACAGGTGCATGGCTAGATCATATTTCTGCTAAAACACATTCAAATTACTGAAAAATTGGACTAAACACATACAAATCCTAACAGGGAGGTCTGAGCCTCATAGAGACAATGCAACGGTACTTACCGTTTAGTTCTGGTATTATTTAAGCTGATGTAATCAGAGTATTGAACTAGATTTCACTTATGTTTACACTTTTTAGCTATGGGAGGTGCTTTATTATTGCATCATAGCTGCAGCAGTACCATTATGTAATGTTTTAAAGAGAGCTTTATAATATTTCTCTCAGTAAATGGGGAGCACAACACCGGCGATCAATTTTTTCGAACATAGGTGCCTAAAGTTAGGCACCCGAGTTCACCTTTAGCTTTCTAAAATGCCCAGCTTTTCAGATGTGCTGAAGACTCACCTCTCGGACTTACTTCAGTAATTTCAGAACATTGACTAGGATGGAGGCGGCTGGTGCTCAGCAAACCTGCAAATCAAGCCATCTATTTAGTAGCTGAAAGATGGATTTGGGTGCCTAACACCCAAGTTTGTAAATTTTTACCTTGGAGTCAAGAGATCTGGATTCTAATTCTTCTTCCACCACATATCGGAGGGATAGCCGTGTTAGTCTGAATCTGTAAAAAGCAACAGAGGGTCCTGTGGCACCCCCTCTGTTGCTTTCCACCACATACTTTCCCTGGGACCTTGGAAGGACACTAGGCCCTGGTCTACACTACAGAATTACTTCAGGATAAGTACATCACTCAGGAGTATGAATAATCCACACCCTTGAGCAACGTAGTTATACTGACCTAAGCACTGGTTAGACAGCACTATGTCAGCAGGGGAGCTTCTCCCGCCGACATAGTTACCGCCTCTCCCGGAGGTGAATTAACTAAGCCGATGGGAGAGCTTTCTCCCATCGGCTTAGAGTGTTTTCATTAAAGTGCTACAGCAGTGCAGTTGCATTCGGGCAGCTGTGCTGGGCAGCGTTTTAAGTGTAGACCTGCCCTAAGATTCCTGGACCCTCAATTTCCCCATTTGAAAAATGGGAGAAAAATATTATACTAATGCAGATCAGTTTACCTTGACTGAATCTTACGCTGTTTTATCCTTGAATCCTTGTTATTTTAGCTCCAAATCTTTTCTGTCCTCATTTCTTTTTATTTTATACTTCATTTTTCCATCATCCCAGTACAGAAAAATTAACTCTTTAAAGAGGCATTTCCATACTCACATGATACTACAAACTTTTCAGATATATTTACCATTGTACTGTATCATTTACTGGTGGGTTTGTATGTTAAATTACTGAAAATGTAATCAAACGAAAATGTATGCAGTGTACATGTAGCTGTGTTGGTCTCAGGATATTTCAGAGACAAGGTGGGTGAGGTAAAATCTTTTATTGGTGTTAACGGGCCACTCTACCTTGAATGGTCCCTTACACTATGTGCTTTAAGCAATCCAGTCCATGTTACATTTTGCTATGACATTGGAAGTACCTTTCCCAGACCTGAGGAAGAGCTCTGTGTGCCTCCAAAGCTTGTCTGGCTCACCAACAGAAGTTGGTCAAATAAAAGATATTACCTCACCCACCTTGTCTCTCTGATCAAACAAAAGTGTCATTTTAAATCATTAGACAAGCTGATTAGATATCTACAATAGCATTAACAGCCTATTCATTAATAAGCATGATAAGTATTCACACTGAAATAAGAGGCAAGCAAATTTTGATTACGTATGGTATAAAATAAATACTGTAGAAAATTATAAATAGTATCTTCCATCTTAAAAGACAGCAACAAAGCCAAGGTTGCAGAGAACATCTGCTAGAAGTTAAGGTTTTTCTTACTTATTAGCACAGCTGCAGTCTAGTCCACTGTCAAGAGTTTACTGACTGGGAGCAGGTTCCAGAATCTCATTTCCCAGTGCACGGAAGACAAGGCAATCTGTAAAAGGGATACCCATTCACTCCTCCAAAAAATGTTCCTTGAGGTTCCCAGCAGAATCCTAAGGGTGCCTTTCAGATTCTTTGCTCTGTTTCTGAAAACTGGCCTCTGGGCAGCTCTCTCCGTGTTTCTTTTATAACTCTGCTCTGTGCTTAAATGCAACTCTGAGAGGTACGTTAGAAATGATGACGGATGATTAATTAGGAGACCGTGCAGAAAAAAAAGGGAACTGTGCATATAACCACAGAATGAAGAGCTTTCTTAAGCCATGAAATGGTTTTACTTCTACCTGTATTGGCTTAATTATATACCATACTATGGTGGGTCTATAAATAATTTGGCATATAGCAATATGATACAACACACTACAATGATTTTTGTCTTTCATACAAACTGCATCCCCAAATGCTCTGCAGGGTTAAAGAATTCTGGCACAAAGTTACAATTAAAAGTGATAGCAGAGGAAATGAGAAATTAAGAAGCAAAGGAAAAGACAAATGTAGAGAACTGATAGGGAAAGCAACTCTGTCATTGTGCCCGCAAGGGGGGCCGTGATACTGGTGAAAGGATGACACTCGAGTCTGAGAATAGCAAGCAAAGTTTTACTGAAGGAAGAACTTTACACTTTAAGCTGCGTGGGGAGTCCCAGGGTGCGCGGAGGGGCTGCAGGGAACTTTGACCGTTCGGGACAGCTGGCCAGGCAGGACTCCACCGAAGTGAGTCCACTGCAATGCTATATCCCACAGCGCTTATTTCAAGATTTCATGGGGTCAACAGCTGGCTACAT